AGGTTAGCCCAGGAGCAGCCAAAAATCGAGGCGTATGCAAGTAACACCAGCCAAGCCAGGCCTCACGTTCACATGCGGTAATACCAGACCTGTGAAGGTTCATGTCGCCAATGCAACGATTGACCAGTTATGAAACCATTCTCCAACTCGTCGAATTTGTTTCACAGAAAAGGCCAGTTTCAATTTCGATATCCGTTCCAATGCTTCGAGCATTCTTCTTATTTCATTACCGTAAAACAATGAAAAGTCATCTTTTAGGGGAAGCGTATCTTGTCATGCGTCCCGGTTGGGCAGATTTGCATCTTGTCACCCGCTTCCTAAACCACTTGTTCTTCAGGTCATTGGGAGTCTGCGAGCCGGGAAGCACGACGCCTTCCTATTGGGGGACTGACTCCTAATATACAGCTGACAACGTCGGTCGCTAAACCCGAAGGGGAAAGGAGAGTCCTGACAGAGCCATGTTCCTGCCACGTGATCCTCTGCTCGAGGCTTTCTTTGTTTGCTCGATAAAGTACCGCATCATGTGTAGCAAACCACGAACTGACCATGGAGACCCACTGTGGCTCCATCCCATGGTCGGAATGGCTCGATAGATTCGCTGGCATCCCATCTGCAATTACCTGGCAGTCCCTAATCTAATATGGAATCGAGGGGAACTAAGGAGCCTTCCTATCAGGCGCACACTAGATTCCTTCAGATGGTGAAATGAACAAAGCGTCAACAGGGTCTAAAGATTCTTGCTTTGAACATCAAGACCTACTTGTGACATAAGTAGCGTTCAGGTGGGTTGTGGAAAACTCTCATGCCGGAATTTTGGTAATTCCGATGCTCCCATCCGTTGCGATATTGGCTGGACGGGCTCCAAGTTCCGTTCACTAGAAGCCAGAAACCTTTCATGTATAACTTCTTAGCCGCAATAAAAATCAATCAGCACGTATGCTGGACAGAGGCACAGCAGGATTCTTGAATCAGGCAAGACGATTATACTGAAGTGAACCGGTTCGGTGGCTGCCCACACGTCTTGAGGGATTCACAAGCCAGCTCACAGCGAGGAGTGATTTCAATGGTCCACTGTGTACATTGCCCGCTGAAGAAGTGGGTCACGATCGAGAGTGATATGTCTCACTACCGCAGTGGCCTCCTATTTGTTTGTCCTTGTACGGCATGACTCCCTGCGGACGGACTGTGACTGAAGTTTGACCTAGGGGCGGGCCGCAACGGAAGCCTATGCCAATGTAAGCTATTTAAGAGTTGCTCTTTCTCCGCCTATCCAACCATTGAAACAAGCAGCCTTCCCACGCAACGTTTAACACCCTTGTTCCACGTTCACATCAACCACAATGCCTTGCTATCTTGTACGCCGTTGTATAATTTTTTAGAATTGTGTCCCTTCTGCTCGTATAATCTGTTCGACATATTGACTGGCTGCCTATCCTACATTTTCGGTTGAGCTCTGGGCGACAGCCGCACGGGCCCTCTAAGTTGAATCGTGCCACGCTATCATTGGGTTGCCTTGACTTGACTCCTTTCAAACGCTCGGCCTCCTGGCGTCTGCACAGGCCACGAAACGGCTGCAGTTGGTATTGTACAATAAGGACATCGCCCAAAGGGCTTATTTGGGTAGGGAAGATCATTAGCGGGACTTTCCTCTCAGCTCAACTAGGGTACAATATCATTGGACTGCCTGGACCCACTCTTATAACACCCTACCAATACAGGGGTACAATGCCGCTGCGAGTCATGAAACTTTCATTGCGCCCAATCCGAACCCCATTGTTCAGGAATGCATTGCAGCAACACCGCCTTGCCAGGGCGATCTGAGTTCATTAGACAAGGCGGGGAAGACCTGAGTTATTCGCAGCCAGGACTGTGAGGCCTCCCGGTGTACTATAGGTCAGTGTGTCATGTAAGGGATAATATACGAGCCATTTCTCTATCGCTTATGGCGGGTATACTAAGTCACTGGGTTCCTCAAGATTTGCCTCTTGAATGAGGCTGAGAATGAAGCGCATGAACGCTCTATGGTTCTGCCCCCACTCCAGCTCTGCTTGGCTGCGAATACGTGGCCTTACTCATTTGTATGCGGCTGCTGCATGGGCTACGTGGAAAGCATCTACAGGTGAATCCATACAAATGCCCCTCACGAGAGATGCGAAATGCGCTTTAAGCCCGGGCCCAGTTTCTACTACACAGGAACGAGGTTTTCACAGCAATCTCATAGTGAATCCAATAAAATCTCGGATATTCAATTTTCCGCTTGTAAGATTAGGCATTATCATGCTCGCATAAGCTGGGGCCTGTATAACTAGCAATTTAGATTGTTAATATCCTTATACACCGTGTGTCCCCTAAGCAGTATATTGGACTTGCTGCCGAGGCTTTTAAATGACAGTGGAGAGGTAATCGAAATTTTGACCCAAGACCAATGTACAGGAAATATGAAACTAATAGATTCACCTACGCGCGCTTTTGCGCTGACCTCTTGTACATATAGGTCGAGACGATCTATGTCACAGATGGCGATATCAAGTAAGCAATATTGTGAACAACAAATTCATTGAGCTTTCGGGGCATACGTCTGGTGATTAGTCAAGTGCGCTGGTACCGTGTTTTGAATCTTATGAATGTGATCACACTGCAGGACCAGAATATTTGTCACCCGGAGCAGCACATCGAAACTTTTAATAAATAAATGACAATAGAGAGATAATCAACTTTCCTACACACTGAAAACTAAACGTGGTACGATGATAAGTCACGCAGACTGTCTCTTTCACAGTTGTAATAGGATACTTTCAAGGACAACATTCTTAATTAAAAGATTTGAATAGCAGAGACGGTCCATCATAATAAGTATCTGGTTTTGTCATGCATATAGACTGTTACGGCGGTGAGCACTTCCACCTCAAAATTCAATCTTGTGTCCAAATGAGCTCTCTGGAAATTCAAAGAACCAACCTGCATGCGCGTCAATATACCCGTTTATTTGTTAGGTCAAGACGACTCACCTTTCCATGCGCGTAATCCAATCCTCAGACTGTGCGCAATGACCAGCTCTGCATCCTTCACAAAGCTGACGATTGTGTGGGCCTCGGCTTTCATTGGAGACCGGTGGTCTCACCACTGGAATTCCATTCCATTGCTTTATCCAGTAAGAGACTCTTTCCGCATACGACTGATCCAGAGTTGGCCGAGCGAGGTTATTGCAAGATTTGCAACGTTGGTGGTATACTCTCGCATTATACATTTGTCCTGGGTAAAGACGAATAGTGATTGCAATCATCTTGCTTGACCAGCCGTTCGCTTTGCATGCTTGATTTCGGCAATTAAACCGACCCATGATATTGGTATCCCGCATTTTGATGCATTTAGTGTCGTCATCAGCTTCGTGGAACTTGAAATGAAGGTCTTCCTCAATTAGAAGACTTGATACTTCATCATGAAGAATTTGGTACATTGACCAAGAAGCTGTGCGCTTTCTTTTGTTATTCAGAAATATCCTCTTGCTAGGCATAGAGACTCGATACAGAAAGTGGTTTGCTCTCCGACGGGATCAATAGGCTATGCCTTTTTTTGAGCACACGAAAAATGGGCGATGAAAGGGAAGGAATAGAGGAGCATATTTATAGGGATCATGTCGTCAAAAAAATAATAGAGGTATTTTTAGGATTTCATTTTTCTTAAAGTACATTACAACCATTGTATTTCTATGCGGACGAAAATATAAATGTTGTTCATGATACACTATATTTACCAAAGCTCATTTGACGGCTCTGGAGTTTCCCTCAGCCTCCAAGCACAGGAGTATGTCACAGCATATATGTTGTGTTACAATTGTTTCCCCGTGTAGTGTTTCCGTTCAAATTGTGTTTCGTGAAGCTAGCTTCCATGTCTATAACTTCTCCAGTGGAGGTATCATCTTTCTTTAATTACAAACAGCCAATATCCGCCAATCCGGTGGCATTGAATACTATAAGCTATCTATGTAGATAGCCACCCGATCGTCTCGCTTCGTTTGGGAAAGCTAGGCAAGGTAGGCAGGGCTAGATCTAGCAATGTATTCAATAGAGAAAAGAGCTCTCTCAAAGAAGGACGATCGCTTAAAATTTCTTTAATTTTGCTTCACTGTAAATATTAGTAACTCTTAAGCAAGCCAACCGTGGGGTTAGACTTTTGAGACTTGCCCGGTCCACTAGTCCCGTGCCATTTGTATTTGCTAGGTCAGCAAGGTCATACCATTCCAATAGAAGATATTGGCCAATGCAAAGGTCTATGAACGCACAAAATATAAAAGTGTATATCCCAGTAGTTAGAATATCTCTTTTTCGGTTAAACAATATAAAACCCCACATAGCAGCAAATACACAGAGAAAAAGTAACGCCATCACTCTATCCGATGTAAATTCACTACACCTATCGACCGATCTTCTGTCTATCGATGTGTTATGCGCAACTTGACAGAATAGTACTGCTGATTTCCCTCATCCTTGTATAGTCCATCTCCTCCCGTGACGCGATCCGTGCTCTCACTGTACTATAGAGAAGTAACGCTGGTAAGCTGAGCAAGGTTTTTGTTGGGGTGCCAATGCATCCCCCTTGCTACTGCCGTTACGATTCGCTCAAATCGTCCGCTGACAGATTGAGACCAGGCAGTCTGACGCAAATCTCTAACGCTTCGATCGGCTGTAACGTGAATTCCAGCTTCATTTGCGTGGCTGCATGGACGCGCTTTGCAAAATCTTTAAGATCTCTCGGCCTGTCGATTTGCAAGGATGTGTGGCGCTGCATGTCGACGTGGTTATCCCATGCAGCCGCAATCACAGTTCGAGGCCAATTGGAAAAGCGAGGCCAGAGATATATACCTTAAAGAGGCAGGGACTTCCAGCACTGCTCCTTCTCTCAGCCAACATTCATTTCCTTCTAGTCTCAATCTCTTTTTTCGCCCTGTGTCATCTTTATACTCCTCCTTTCAGGCCCTGGTCTACGTCCCATTCACCATCATGCCCCTCTTTACGACAGCCGAACGCATCCGCGCCGTAGAAGTCATTATCAACTATGAGTTCCACGATAAGTCTCTTCTTGTAAAGGCCCTGGAAGCTGCCGGGGCCACCATGGCCAGTCAGGGAAATAAGCGGCTTGCGCTGATCGGGGATGCCGCCCTGAGGCTCGTTCTTTATGAGTTTGGTTATGAAGACGAAGCCTCCATACGTGAGGGCCATCAATATTTTTTTTACCTTCGTTATCAGAGTTTTAATGAGATCAAAGGTGACATGACGAATGCCCAGAATACTCGAGCCACGAATGAAAACCTAGGGCAGATAGGCTTTTCCCTCGGCTTGAATGTCTACATCCATTTGAACCCTTCAGCTCAGGGCGTTGTCCCTGGGCGGCTGATGGCAACAACCATCGAAGCCATTATTGGCGCTGTCTACCTCGACAGTAATAAGAATACTATGATCACACGTCTCCTCATTATTCATCTGCGTATCATGCCGACGCCCGAGTAATTATCTTCGGGAAGGTACGAGAAATGCTACGGCCCGTTCCCGGGTTTCATTCATTTCCAAATGCTGATTTCTTTTTCTTTAGACTGCATTTCCCGGGGGTTATTTGTATACCCTTGCGGCAATAGTTGCTGGCACATGCCCTGGTAAAGAGGCTTTTCAGGCCTTGATGAGAGGGACGCCTTTAGTACCATGCGTCCCTCTTGAGAAGGCCTGGGAAGCCTCTTTATGATGGCATCTGGTAGTTAGTATTGTTGGAATAGTATCTGAATACCCCTATAGGCCCCAGTCATCGGGATATATCTAGCACGGAGATCTCTACAGACATTTTACGATAGGAAGCCCCTTGGTACTCTGGCTTCCTATCGTAAAAGAGATGGCCAGCTATCCGTGCTAGCTAAATATCAATAAATGGTATTCGTGATTTCTTTATATTTTCTATTGATTTCTTGTTAATATGCGACATATTCAACATATCGTCCGCTGGTTTATTGGCTTGGCTTGACCTGTTCAATTGTTTCATATTTTTAGGTCTTTCACAGTAGCCCAACGATTCAACAACGTAGGGTTATCGAACATTCTTGGATATTTGCAGTGACCAATTTAATCTAGTCATTCATTCCAAATCTTTACTCATATTTCGTAAAATCTCATAGTACTTGGTTTCACTGAGTATCCTAAGCTGGAAAGAATGAGGTATTCTTCGACCTTACCGTGCTCAATTTACCAGTTAGGTGGATCTCTATGGCTCTTGGTCACCTCCGGTTCAGTTCAAATGGACAATTTGGTTGGCTATCAGGTGGTTGTTATGGATTAGTTTGGGGGAAGGGTGTCATTCGTGTTGGTTGGCACGGTTAAATGGCGTCGAGTCGGCCCGTGGCGATGGCGAATCGTGTTGAGGCCCGTACTGCTTCTGGGTTCGGCACCCAATCCTTGTCGTCGGAAGGCGATTTTCTGCCCAGGAAGAAGGATATGTTGCCTCGGTGGGTATTGGTACATTGGAGTAGTTCCGTCTGTTGCGTAGTCCACTTCCGATATCGAAAGAGAAAGTGCTCGACGGTCTCTCTTGCCCTGCCTATATATGGACTGATCTGTCTCTGCTACTGATTCGATGGAGATATCTATTTAATCTTGCCATGCTAGTTCGCATTTGGGCTAGAACGTTTGCTTCTTTCCACGATAATCGGTTATATAGCTATCGGGTGTGTTTCCCTGGGAGTGCTGCATCTACTCGTTTGACATGTTTCTCGACGGTGTGTAGTAGGCTTTTGCTAGTGGCTACGTGCGACTGTGCGATATTTAGGGCTGTTGACTTTATCCTAGGAACTTGTGCTAGTAGGACCGCGTCCTCTTGGGTCGCGGTCCTGGCCTGCCCTTTAGTTAGGCCTAATAATTTGTTCTCTTCACTGGCAGGGACCTAACGGACGTTGATCCAGTTTACGTTTCTCTGTAGTCTTCTTACTAACCTATAAATTTGGTAGACGTGTCCCTGGCCCGACTATCGTCGAGGAATCCTTAGCGTGAGTGCTGCCGCTTTGTTGCTCGTGAGTAGGGTGATTCTATACCCTTTTAATCCCGGTAGCGTGTTTAACGCGTATGCCGTTACTGCTAGCTCCGCTGAGTACGGGTACTTCTCTGATATTACGCCTAGTATCTTAACACGGCTGTTGGGCTCCACGGTTTATCCCTTGATAGTAAAAGGCTCCAGGTCCAATTTGTGGGCCTTGGGGGTGAAGTGTATAATAGCTGTTTTCTCTGCGTCAGAAGTCGCTCCGCCTCTCCTTTCCCAGTCAAGTGCGTCATTGATAATTGCTTCAATTCCTTCCCGGTTACTCTGCGTGGTTGGCCCGGTCACCCATGCGGTAAAATCATCCACGAGAGCAATTTCTCCTCCCTGGCTGTCGATATGTCGTTGTACGGAGTCTGCGTTGAAGGAGAGGAATAGGATCGGGGACAGGGGTGAGCTCTGAGGTAGTCAAACACAAATGATAGAGGTGCCAAATCCAATCAAAAGAAGTCTTTATCAATGTCCGTAGCAATGGCATGCAAGCACGGACTAGCGAACAGGCGTCGGCGTATGGAGCACTTACATTAGGGCTAGAGCTCGGACATCAGGGTTAAAGAGAAAAAGAGCCAATCAGCAAGTTTGATATCTCCAGCACTAAGCCTAAGATTGAAAGTTGCAGAATTGCAATCAGAAGAGGGCATGGACAGAAAAGGCAACCAATAATATGAAAATTGAAGAGGTGACTGGCAAATTAGAAGGCGGAGTTTGGCTAACAACATTTCCTATTTGCCGTTCCACAAACATCCTAGGGTCCCCAGACTTGCGAATTGCAGCTCGTCGCATCCCTTTCCCGGACCAAGTTTCCAGCTGGGGACATTTGCGTCCTGCGCAACTTCTGGCCTAACGCACAAGGCATACTCAACCTTCCCAGTCATCAAGGTACCCTGCCCAAGCACCTTGTGTATTCCCGGGGTCAATAAAAGACGGCACCGCCATTACGCCCTGGCTGAGATCCATTTGCCCCAGCCCACCTGGTATAGTATGCCCTCGCTGCGCTCCTTGGGAGCTGTTCCAGCTATGCATGCCACCTTGTCCCATGGCTTCTACGGTCGAGTACAAGGCATCATCAGCCGTAAGAAGCGAGTAGAGCATGCTCCAGCCATCTGTCTCAAGACTGTGATACGACTGGCCATCTTCGAGTGTCGAAGACGAGCTGGGAAAGGCGGCCGTCCAGTCTTGCATTTGGTTATTTGAGCTGATGGCTGCCCCTGCAGTAGAACCAGAGCTGACCGAGAAGGAAGGCGGCGCTGCTGCTGTTCTGTCTCCACAATTGGGTGGAGGAAACCCTGGCACTGTGGGCGGTGGGCTGTCGGTTTCGCTCTTGGACGTGGCGTCTACTGCGAGAGCGGAAGCGACGCTACGGCCGGGATAGGCTGTCCGCGTAGATCTAGACCCAGGGCAAATCAACTTGCGTGCGAGATTCTCATCCGACGTGGATGACTTGTGGAGGGAACACGATAAACGTTTTGCCGTCGAGCGCGGTCGTCGAAGGCGATGCTTAAGAATCTCTATGGATCGCCTAGTCCCCGGCGTCTGTGAGATGCCTTTTTCCAGCACGTACATTGACATGCTGAGCCTTGAGCTGGCCGACGCGGCAATTTCAGGGTCATCAGATTGAAAATCGATGGCATTGATGGTGGCAGCAGAGTACTAATATGAACTGTCAGCCTGACGCAGCAGATGGCCAATGGCGGGTCCGACTCACGATGCTCCAGGTCGAGATGTACATCATGTTGCGCAGCCCAAATGACTTGCTGTATAGCTTCAACAACTCATAGATTTCTTCCGCCTTGGCCGTGCATGTTGCCGAGGCTTCGCGCATGAGGTTGACAGGTGCGCCAGTCGGGGCAGGCAGACTGTTCGGGATGAAGATACGGTGCAGTAGAATCCAGCTGGCACGATACAGGACGCTTGTAATGGCAAAAGTCAGCTTGGAATCTGTCTTCCTCAAGCACAAGAACTTACTTGGTTGCAAAGATGTGAGGGGGCGGGCAATGCTCTGGCAAGTTCCTAGTGTCCAGCTTGATCTCTGCTGGGAAGCGATCGAACCATTCATTTAACCTCGCTCGCACGGCTTGTATGAACCGACCTATGCCCAGATGTCTCGGTCGTCCGACGTAAAGACGCATAATGATGGTTTGGATGATCTCGCACAGCTTGAGCCAAGTAAGAAATCAGACTATAATCGGTGCCAGACTTCTCAGGAGTATTCTCAGGAGTATGCTGACCTTGATGAAGTGCTTGAAGTTTGTGGTGATGTAAGACTTGTGAGGTGGATAATTGGAAGTTGGTGAAAGCTCTTGGTCCGCGTATAGTTGCGGTTGCCAGATCTCATCGTCTTCCGTATCGTCCACTAGTAATGATTAGCCTCAAAGCCAAGGATGTGACTTGACCATCCCATCCGGAAACATACCAATGTGGCCGGGAGAGACGGTCTGGTGAGCGTTAAAAGTTGGTGTACGACCAAGGGCTAAACTTATTATCTGATATTATATATTCTCAGCTTGTCATTCACAGATCTGGGAAGGAAAGAGCCAACCTTATCCCATGTAAAAGCCGACCAGAACAGCCAACGTCGGATCTCACGATCCTCCACTGTCAAGGTGCCAAACCCAAATATGGGCAGCCGACTGCAGTCAAGGTGGATACCCATATCTCTTGTGAAGTATTAGGTCTCCTCAGGCTAATAGCGAGCTGTTGTATCACACCTTATCGCGCGGAATGCCATGCCGGTATAAATCGGTTTTCGCGATGAGAAAATCTCTTGCAGTCTGATGAATTAAGTAGATCTTGGAGTTGTTGATGAAAACAAAAAGGCCACATAATCGACGTAGCTTTTTTTCAACCTGGGATGATTCAAGTCCAGCCTTTGCTGCAGTTTGGGCTTGCGGGGACGTGACAATACCGAGCGCCATGGCCATTTCCGTCGTTGCTAAAGGGCGCCGTGCTACAACGATAATTTGTGAGATCTTCCTCGCAATGTCCACCTGGCGGGAGGGCACTCGACTAAGAATCTTTTCGTATGCCTTATCTACTGATCGAGGTATTAACTGGATTGGCTCTTCAGCAGGGCGAAGGCTATCCCCGAGCGTAGATCGAATATCGCCTATGGCTAAATGTAGCCAGAGATACGTGCGGTACTCCATTTGCAGAAGCTGCTGCTCAAGTCGCCGCTCTGTGTCCCGTGACAATGCCACTCTTTCAGTGAGTTCTCTTACTCGCATCTTCACAACAATGTCAATTTCTTGGTGAATCTGATCATTTTCTTCCTCTCCTTTCAGATGAAGATGTGGAAAAGAGCCTGTGACCATTCGGAACGCATGCTGGATATCGTCATAGGGGCGACTAGTGACCAGGAATTTGAACCAGGTATCCTGTATCGGCGGACATGACAGGCGGTGAAACGACTGAAGCTTGTCTATTAGTCCATTCTGATCAATCCCACGGTATAGTATATGTAAAAAAGAAAAAAAAATGTAATTAAACGTTTGTTGCGCGCGGAATTCGTATACGTTCGCGGCATACCCAGTCACTAATATCTCGATCAATAAACTATTTTTGCTTACGACGCCTGAGTCACTTGCTGATCTCCGTTACTTCAGACCGTGCAGGACCATGTCACCCTTACGGATATGTATTTTTGGCTGGTAGCGATATCATTCCGTTAGCGTGGCGACGAGGTCCTAGAGGCATCCTTTCTTGGAGGCCATCGTGGGGTCAAATATCCCTGTAAAGCCGACCTAATATGAGAGGCTACCAATTGTCCTATTGAAAGTTATCCCACGGCGTTGTATACTTTCCGATGGATTGGGCGGTCAATTTATGAGGCGATTGGTGGCCACTTAAAGTGGATTTGGTGGGACCAATCGAGATAAGATAGATCCACAGCTGGAATTCGATTCTAGTACGTCCCGAAACTAGTGCAACCTCCTACACTCTGTGGGAGACTATTTTCACCATTGTAATTCAGTCCACGGTCGTGAAGAAAGGCAAGGTAGGTACTATGTTCCAAAGATGACGAAGGGTGGCTGTACGATTACTAATCTGTGCGCACAGGTTCCTAGGAGCCGAAGGAGCGCTTTTTAGCCTACCGGCGTACGGTTCTCCACCAATTCTCAAGATATTTAAACTGCCCATGCAATTCTCTCGTAGGTTAACAATTTCATGAATTTACTCTGCAAGCTCCTTTACCTAAATATCACTTTCGCCGTTTACGCAAAATTTTAATGGTTCAAACTCGCCAACAAGCTCGTCCAAGGACGCAGCCTGACAATAAAAAGGCCAACAGCAACGCTCGAGTACGGAAATCTCGGCAAGTTCCAACACGCGTGAACCTTGGTGGACCTCAAAGAAGAACTGAGTTGACTTCTGAAGTCGTTAGTCTTTTGAATAAAGATGCGCCTGAGGAAGACTTCAGAATTGCCCTCGCCAGAAGCGAAGTCAAGCTGGATTTCTTTCCGCCTCTTATGTTTGACAACTTATACAAAGAAGATGCCTTCTATAAAGCGTTGCAGAAGCGAAGGCTGGATGTTCTACCATTGATGCTTGGAAAGCAAGAGTTAGAAATGTGGAACATTCTTCATTTGGCTGTTGTGTACGACAGCTTGGAGGTAGTCAAAGAGGTGCGGAATAAGATCCCCGATCTTGGTTGCGTTGTTGATCAGAGGGGAAGAACTCCCCTCCATCTAGCCTTTACTAAATGCAACACTCTGGTTGCCCAGTTTCTGCTGGAAAATGACTGTTGGAAGAAATACAATGGGGCTGATCGAGACTGCCTCGGCCACCTGGCCGTGGAAGCAATTGCTTTCGATTGCAGAAAGTCAGGAATGTGCGCATGGGCTCGGTTTGTTGGTTGGCTTTACGATCCACAGGAAGGGGGAATGGTAATCGATACCCAAGATTCGAATGGCGAAACCGCCATTGACCTCGCCCGAAAATGGGACATTTATGATGTTAGAGTGAAATACACTCTGATGGGTCGGAAATAAGTCTTTTTTCCATCTCTGCTTCCCTCAATCTATGGACATACATCATGCAGCTGAGGCTGCAGCATGCTGCCAGGTACCTTCAAATCAAGCGGATGAAGCATAATGTGATATCGCCAGCTGCAATATCAACAGTTCTGGAAACATCACCGGAATCCGTCGCAGTCTCCAACCTTCTTTATATGACAAACCCTCCTCTCGAAAAATCTTACATATCTTGTTCTTAGTTTGTAGAAAGCCCCCTTGCCGAAAGTAGACTGTAAAAGAGCAGCTTCGGCGAGGGGTCAGCGTAACTAAATACTACTACTGCCGCTGCTGCTACTCTTCCTGTATACCCGAGAAAGCTATGAAACAGAGATGACACAAAAATGACCTGGCCTATAATCCCACCATACCTTCTTCTTTTACATTTTTTGAAGTACGATTCCATCAGATATGTCTTCCAAGTTCAAACCATTTCCCGAAATACAAGCAACCTTTTGAGTCTTTCTTTTTGGCTTCCCTATCCTCCAGCCATGGAATCCCGTTCCTTATTTGAAGCATGCGCTTCGTCACTGCGTCAAGCCCCATTGCATCCGTACATTCCATCCTTTCCACAGTCATTAGTAGCCCGAAGAGAGTTCGTAAGAAGCCTTCTCTAAAATCGCTTTTAATCTCCAAATTGACCACAAAAACCCAAGTTTGATACCATATCTCATCCAACCGCTCCAGACCTTTCTGACCCGCAAATGTAAAAATAAGTTCTTTTCGGAGCCACGATGGGTGGGCCCGTTTGCGACGTTGATGATAGTACATTCCGTGCCAGTTCGATCCTTCTGGTAGTGCGCGCCTGATGGTTTCTTCTAAACGCCCAATTCGGTCGCCTATTTTGCTCGAGGTGACCCCATGTTGTCTACCAATGATGTGGACGTAGCGAGCCATACTTTGAATTGAACCTGAGAATCGATGTAGGCTAGTAGAATAGCCCTAAGTTTATGTAAATGTAGTTGCAGGCACATAAACGGGGGTGAAAGTTTGTGGAAGAGATTCGGGACCCACGATGTATTCTAAGTGCGAAGAGACCAAAGAATACTTGCCCTTTTTATAATTTGTCAGAAGCTGATTGTGGACGGCGTGGGTCCACTTCAGGCCCACTCTCGTTTCCCCAAACTTAGATATCTTGGAGACGTGAGTTACACGCTCAACTACCACCTACCATATATGTTGACTCGAGGCCCTCACAATTTCTAGGGTCGTCATCCTTTAGATGGGCCTGGTGGGCATGCTTGCAACAAACGGCTAACAACGGACGGTTATGAACCGTCGGACCAATATAGACTTAGAATGCCTATAGTGTTTTTTGGTCTAGAGGCATTGTATACCATCATTTAAGCGACACAAGCAAATAAGTCAGCAACAAACAATAGACTTAGGTAAGGAACGGAGAACGGTATTAGCGCGACATTCTGCCTTATCAGCCGTTTATATGAAACATTATGGTATTACTACAATAACTCATGTGCTGATATAAGACCATAACGGTCACGGTTTTGCCAAAGTTATAAAGCAGTAAACCAAAATACTTTGGTGGATTTCGAATTTTTTTTCCGAGAATGAAGTCGCAAGTGTGGAGGTTTAACTGATTTCGAACACTACTGTACAGGACGTATTTTTTTCCCTGCCAAGCAAACCAAGAATAGCACTATTAATTGGTCAATTCGCCATCTTTGAATTGATGCATCAAATAATCATATTATCTTTCATAAGAGGCAATATCAGTCCGCTCTGCATTTTCTGAGTGCGTTACCTTAGGGACCCCGAAAGGCGCGATGGGAATTCTGGGAGATTTCCAATGTGCAAATATGGAATTTCGAGTTCCGGCATTGCTCCCTATGGTTGGTGATCAAAATGGCGATCAGAGGCTACGGCGTAGTGCACAATAAGTGCAAAAGACTAAGCAAAGGGCGCGCGAAAAGGAAGGAAGCAAAAAATTACAAAATAAAAATTGTTTTAAAATAGGGAGCAAAAGTTTGTCATCACAAAGCGGGCCCACCAATTAAACAAAGTCGACTCAAAAGGTATTTAATCCAGCAAACTCAAAGCTAAGATTGTGAGTAGAAAGTCGAGATGGTTAATTTAGCATAATTTACTGCCAGCGATCAACCTGAAGATATATTCCTTCTGATTTTTATCGGTTTGACCGTTAGGGGTACAGTATGCAAAAGTATGTGCAATTTGGAGTGAATCAACTCTTAACGATTCCAATATTCTGGGTCCTCATTTAGGATAGGTCCGTTTACTATAGGTGTGGTGTGAAATATGAAATGAGCAAACAGGTACTGTAAACAGGTACACAATTAGAAGCATTAATTTGCAGTATTTGGGTTATTCACCCCAGGCCTTGCAGGCTGGCCTTGGACCATATCCGTTGACGTCATTGACAGGCCACTTCGACCAACAATAGCATCCCCTGTTTCTCAATGGCCACCTTGCGGTCAAAAGTTCACACGGTCTACGCGTCACGTATATTCACCATCAGCTATCCATCTTTCTCAGTTCTAACCAGACTTCAATAAATCTCCAACCTCACCAGATATCACGATGAGATTTCACTGTTCACAATTTTGGTTCCCTTTGCTCCTCGCCTCCGACGTATCCGCCGGTCCTGCCGCTTATGGAATATGTCAGGCTGGTTGTGCAAGCATAGTCATGGCCTGTTATTCTGCTGCAGGCTTCACGTGGGGTGCTACGATGGGAGCATCCGCACCTGCTTCTATAATTGGGTGCAACTCGGCGTTCGGAACATGCCAGCATGCATGTGCTTCTGTGTTACTGGCACCGACATTGTGAGAATTGCGAAATTGGGAAACCCTTTCTTCGACGGATCGCTACAAGACAAAGTAGCTCTTTTGAAAATGTGATGGCTGATGAAGCATTTGATGTTCAATTTCACGCGAAAACGCCATGGTGATGCTAAATTTAAAAGAAATGGCAATTTATCTTCGTTATTTACGTGCGGAAACTAGCATTGTTTATGATCAATTATATTTTAGATGCTGCGTTCCAATTCTTTTCAAAAATTTTTGTTGATATAACTTAAATTCCAATTGTAAGGGACCATGGTGTCTTGAATGCGCGTCCAATAAAGCTGTTGACGAATTGGTGGCACCCGAGAACGCTACTGTATCTAACTGATTATCGATTACTTATACATACTAAAAGCTCCTGGAGGACTCTTGTTGCGAAGCCTGTCATAGAAATGCCAAAAGTTTATACATAGCGGTTTTCACCTCGATTAATTCGCTCTCAATTAGTCACTCTCAATTAATCACCCTCAATTAATCACTCTCAGTTAATCACTCTCAATTAATCACTCTCAATTAATCACTCTCAATTAATCACTCTCAATTAATCACTCTCAATTAATCACTCTCAATTAATCAGCCGGTTGATTGTGATCAAATGGCACCCCGCCCGGTTCATCAAAATTATTGTTCAAACTTCGGTTTGTCCTCCCGAATTGGTTTAATCTAATCTGAATTCAGCTAATCCATCAAAACAGAACCCTCAAATATGAGATATTTACCTGCATAAGATATCAACCTTTCGGTCGTATCATCTGTGTTCTGGTCATTAATTTAGATATGACAAGATTTTCAGATGAGGAAATATGCGGACTGGCCTCCCACAGTGGTTCAGAAGTTGCTTTCTCCATTGTCCTCACTCCAACCACCGTTTGTGGAGATTAAACCCACCCCTTGAGTATCTTTTTACATACTTCTCAATCCCGTTTTTTGAGTGTTCAGAAGGATATATTGAAACAAAATATCGAGTCTAATTAACCACTTCTGTCCATTTCCGTATTATAAATACCCAGCTCCTTCCATATTTGCCAATACTGAACACAATTTCCATCATGGCCGAGTGGAACAACTCTGGTAATTTTACTGATCTACTTGAGAGTAATAAGAAGTATCTACGAGGTGAAATCAGGTCGTCTCCTTATCATTTCGGTCCCATAGAGGCGGAGACACATAGCCTAGTCCCTTCTTTGTTAAAGCTACATGAACAACAAATTTTTACATATGACAGTCAACCCTACTTACGCGAACGCACGAGAAGGGAAGGAGGTAGCTTTTACGACGTATGGCAACGACCTTATCTGTTCTTTGTTGTAGCAGAGAAAAACAATCCACAGAGACTCTTCCAAGAACTAAAAAGAAACAAAGATATTAAAGTGCACGTGCGGAGAGCTTCCTCACCTGAAGTTGCTTTAGAAGGATCGTTCACCAAGAACAAGATTGTTAGTAAGGGCAGGACTGTGACCAAATTTCGACGTTTCTTGTTTCTGCGGCGATGGAAAGTCTTTACTTCCTTTGACCCCACGTCAGATATATCGGAGGAGGACATGTTTTGTCTAGAAGCTATGAAGCAAGCAAAACCATGGTTATTTGATGTTGTTGCGGCGTCGTGGAAGGATGTTGATATTGCAAGGATCCTTATAGATGCAGCTGATGCAGTATATGCATGAGTAACCAGCTAAAATCCTGAAACGTCCTCTGGTCCTAAGAAATGTGGATCGAATTTTTACAAGTCACATCATCTATCTTTGATTACCGGAATTTGTATGTAACCTTACTGTATCTATCGATGCAATGTATTTCTATCACTGTTTTCCCAAACTTATACAGCCGTAAGCTGAAGTGGGTTGGTGTATTTTGGATTCATTCCAGTTGCTGTTTAGTTTTCATGCCATCCGCTACAGATCTAGGGTTACTATCGGCGGTGGAGTACCAAGCAGCCGTGCAAATATTCGACTCGGGGATATTGTAGTGAGCCAGCCGACAAAAACGTCTGGAGGCGTGATCCATTACGATTTGGGTAAAGCGCTAAGCGGCGGTCAATTCAAGCTAACCGGAATGCTTAATCTACCGCCGACGGATTTGTATATTAGTCTAGCTGGGTAAACCAGCTACAGTATTTTTCGAAATCAGTTAAACCTCTATACTCTTGCGACTTCACTCCCGGATAATAAACCCGAAATATGCTAACCTTATCTAGCTTACTCAAATTTGGGCTCGACAGGAGATGGCATTTTGGGAGTTGTTTCGGCTCTGTGGTATGCTCCTCATGATCAAATTCTGTTTTGGCAGTTTGATCAGGTATTACAGGACTGCGTTGTGTTGGATTTTCGTTGTCGGATTCAGAGTCGATTGCAATATCTTCTTCGGAAAGTTCAAGTTGCTGTACCTGCCACCGTATCCGCCGGATTTCAACCCCATTGAAGAATTCTTTGCCGAACTAAAGGCCTATATCAAGAAAGCTTGGTCAGCATATGAAGAGAATTCTGGCCAAGGGTTTCATGCCTTCCTTCGAAGGTGCGTCCATGAGGTGGGTGTAAAACAGAAGAGCGCCGAAAGCCACTTTAGGCATGCGGGAATAACGATACACAAGATATGAGTGGCCGCCATCAATCACAGAAAGAAAGAGCCAGTCTTTCTTTGCCATCTGCGCTAGAGTACAAGGAAATTCAACGCAAGGTCAGAACGGGACAAGTTACAACGTCTCCATACAAGACACCTCCTTCAGCAATTGAAACAGCTACTGTAAAAGGGCATATACAGTAATAATAGTCCCAAACTTCAGATATCCACCTAGAATTCTCTAACTAATCGTTGGGCCATCGTTCTCGCATACCTGGCTTTATGCTTGAGACCGTATTTGCAAATTCGGCTTCGAGCCAGGAATCCCAATCCCAATCAATCCATCCTGAAAATGAATATCCTTTGCCTCTCAATTCCTTCCACCGAAGGACCGGCGAAACGTATTCTCCCAGAAAATAGTTCAACTTTAACAAAGGGGGATCATCTCGCCTGCGGTTGAAAAGAGCATGGGCGAAATCAATGAACACGACACTGGGTCTGTCGCTGTCTGGAGAGCTTATGATGACATTTCGCGGTTCGAGATCGGTGAGCCAAATGTCCTTTTCAAAAATGCGGGCTCTCAAGGTCCACAATCGACTTCAACAAGCTTTGACGAACTGATTTTGAAAAATCTCCTGGCTTGGCATCTGCCATAGTAATACCTTCAATATGATCGACCAAAATCATTCGAACTGTCCTTGTGTGTACTGAATTAACAGGTAGACTCAAAGAATATCAACCGTAGTATCTCGGTATCCCTTGACCTTGAAATTCGCTAAGGGCCATGTATGCATTGGCCTCATGAGTGTAGTATTTGTCCACACAGAGGAATGGGTTGAGGTGGCCCTCATCATCTTCGAAGTAGAGTGGGTCGTATATTTTGGCAACAAGCACTGTCCCTTTCTGAGGAAGGAGTTGTGATTTTGACGCAAAGTCTAGTAGTCGGAATGTAAATACCTGAGAATTATGGCCATCGCCTCCTTTCAAGCGGTCGATGACCTCTAAGGTGACCGTGTCGTATCCGTCTTTGCCGGGCAAAGGGGGATGCTTTAGGCATCGGTCAATTGGACGCAGTTTCCTTCTCTCTGTCCTGTCACTTTCATTGTTGATGCAGCAGCCTCGCACTACCGGTGTTGGGCGCGGAGCAGTGTGAGATTTCGCGGTGAATCTCCACATCGCAGAGTACGGCACAGGCGGCTGAAGGAGTTTCGTCGACAAATGCCCGAACGACGGGGTGAGTGGCTCAGAGATAGGCATAATAGTAATCGGTGTGCCTGTAATAAACCAGTCGAGTCGACATGTGAGACATTTGCATTTCGAAGTTCGTACTGGAGCTCTGAAAGGGAGATCGGGCCAACTTCGCCCATCTATCGGCACATTGATTTTCCGAGCACCGTGACACATGACTCAACCTGTTATCCTGTTCGATTCGACATGTTAAACGCCGCAAGTTGTTTCACTATTGCTCATCGTAGTAAAAGTCATTATCTCGCCCCAGCATGGGGTTGTTCATAATACGCTGGCCAATTGACACCGACGACTAACCGCCATACTTAGCTCCTGCAGCCTACGGGTGGCCCACAACAGGTGTACTAATAATAGGCACCAATGCGCACGAGACGAAGTCTGAGGCAGGCGGGACGCGATGGGAATACAAATTACCATCTAGCAGCCAGCGACTTTCCTTATTAGTTGGAGGTTATTTGCAGGCGAGCAGCACCCTCAACGGCGCCTAATGGTGTAAGCCTTAACTACCATTCTTACCCTTAGTCTATCGTTACAGTAGCCCTAAGAAAATGACACAAAGTTCTCTGTACAATTATGAACAGAGTTCAACGAAGCATGTCGCTTGACGCGTGTGACAATACAGTACATCCACTTGTACCACTAACGCCTACTGTCGCTATGCACCAACACCTGGCTAATTCCCAACACCTGGGAGCCCTTCTTGATCACCCACCTCCTTGTCTGCAGCGGTGCTCGCCATCCATATGAAAGTTTTGTTCACTACTAGTTGACGCAGCGAGATTCGCGAAATTTTCGTTTCAGATCTTCAATATCTGGTGCTACTCGTAGTTGAAATGCGACCGAAAAGCCCGATCGACTTCGCGATCTCGACAATCTACGCACCTCTCGAGGTGAAAGCGGTCAATCCCCTTTCGACGAAATCAATGATTGGCTGGATAACACTCACATGACCACAACACGTGGCAATACTTGTATCGGCATTTTCGACCTCCTTTCGTTACATAGACCACGAGTCCATTCAGTGAGTGGTTGGCTGGTTGATTCGTCTCAATACCCTGAAACTGTATGCTTCGGCGCCTACACCGCTTGCCATAGTGGGTGCAACCGAAGACCTTGTATGTTGGTCCGGTCTCTGGTCTGTTCTGACTCCATTTGCCCCACAGAACCTGGATCTGCGAAATAGGTCGCTTTATAATACATATCGAAAGGTTGCGAACGGCATATCCTGTTTTAATATCAGGAACGTTGGAAAAGTTCGCGATCAGTTTTATTCTTACACATTCGAGAATCCGAAGAATATGACGACGGCAACCCCCCTTGGTCAGTTTGCAAACGGTTATATTCACTGATTTCGAAGTTGCTCGTATCAGACGGAAAATATATGCTAATATCCCTCAAGAAAGCTATATACCTTGTCAGTACGCTGGAGACAGAGACATTCCTTTCGCCCCTGACGGTAGATCACCACTCATCAGTGGCTTTGTCGAAAAGGTTGAAGGCACTTCTAAACCTTTCATGGGTCTAAAGTGTGCCCGAAAAACCATCATTATTGAGGCGGATCCAGAGTTACAAGACGGTATAAAGCGCAGATTGACGGAGGAGGCGAAAATCCTCCACTATGCTCAGCACCGACATGTCGTCCGACTAGTACATTCGTACTTTGAGGAAGATGAGGAGAAAATCAAGTTCGCACTCATCATGGATCGTGCAGAGGAAAACCTACATCAGTACCTCAAACCGGGAAAGACTCCCAGCAATCAGTGGTTTGGCTGCTTGATTAGCGTTGTGCATCATATTCATTCCCTGGGTATTCGGCATCGGGATATCAAGCCTTCGAATATCTTGATAAAGGATGGGAAAGTCCTCTTAGCCGACTTTGGAATTTCACAAATGGGTCTTGGGAAAACGATGCCGACTACGAACTTGAATCGTAATAGCGAGAGGACACGAGAATACTGTGCTCCCGAAGTCGACAATGGCAGAACGCGCGGCCGATCTGCAGATATTTTTTCACTAGGGGCGGTGTTCCTTGAGATGCTCATTGCGCATGCCTATCATGTCTATCCCGATGGACATAAAGAACTTGCCAAGATGTTAAAACCATCGCCTCAAGATCCTTCATCATACGCGAAACATGCCGACGACCTTCGCAAGTGGATAAAGGGAAAGTTTAACCTTATCGGATGGCAGGACATCATTCTCTCCATATGTTATGATATGCTGAATCCTGACCGATCTCTTCGCCCTTTAGCCGAAGAGCTGGACTCAGTTTGGTCAGCATTATCTGCTACAAGCAAGCCAAGGGCTTGCAGTTGCGTTGGAGAAACTCCTTTTGTGGAACAGAGCAAGTTGATAGAGGCGTGCAAATGGGGTTCTATGGATGATGTCAGTCGCCTTCTTGATGAGGGTGCGGACCCAAACACCCTCGGTGCGATCCATCACGCTGCTGCGCGTGGGTCTAAGGCTATTGTACAGATGCTGTTGAAAAGAAAGACCGAAATCGACAGTAGGAACCCTGTTGGACAGACAGCACTTCACTGTGCATCTCGGAACGGATTTGATGATGTAGTTGAACTCTTGTTGCAGAGCCGTGCAAATGTCAATACTGGAGACGAAAATAGTCAGACTGCACTTCATGGTGCTGCAGCGCAAGGTTACGGGAATATCGTCAGAATGCTGCTAGAGGCTGGTGCAGATGTGGATTTGGAGGACCTGGATGGAAACACGGCATTCCACTTTGCATATAGAAGGCATCATTCAGACATATTATCCCTGCTGGACGATTACACCTCGAAGGCAAAATGAACGCTAAGGCGGAGCTTCCGCATGGAAATAAGGGTCACAGATTGGCAAAAGGATGTATGGCGCGCGATGCAAAGTCCGTTTGCCTCGTTTCATCGAAACGGTATGTTGCCATAAGCTCATGCTGTGACAACAGGATACGAGGAGGCATGTATGTCCTGACTTGAATGATGAACAACTGCATTCAACTGAAGTCTGGCCTTATGGTTGAAATACATGAATTAGGTACAAAATCAAATCGATACTCCTTTCAGCTCCTCGACAACCAGCGCTGTAAACGTCTTCTGGAGTTTAATACCCAACTCAGAGTCTCTTGCCTGGTCATCCTCCTCATTGAGATGCATCCCCATTTCTCCATGGGCTACAATACAGCGGCTGACTGCCCTCCAATACTTATCACCAGCTATATCGCGCAATTCTTTGAGTGGATCTGCGTCTTTGAAGGGTGGGAAGAGTTCTTCCTTTAAAAGCCAGGCGCGGATCCGGGCGTCTTGATGCGAAGGCTCTGGCCATTTTTTAAGACACATTATCTTATGCAATGGCTTCCAATGCGCGACCTCAAGAAGAACAAGACCAAGACTGTAGATATCATATGTCTTTCGAGAGTTCTTTGAGTTTGGCGCTTCTCCCTGAATGCCTGGCCATCGGTAAATATCCCACTGCGGATTCGGGCTGCGCGTGGTTGTACTTCCACTCTGTGGACGCGAATACTCAAACCCTGATAGGATTGGTTTCTCAATATCGAATGTCTGACCGTTGAATGCGAAAATGATGTTCCCACTATGGATCCCTTTGTGTATCCAACTTGTAGTGTGTAGATAAAGGAGCGAAGAGGCCAATTTCCAGGCCAAGGAAATCCGTTGGGTCAGAGTTGGTTTGAATTGGCTCGTCCCTAAAATGCTGTGAAGAGACTTCAACGAGGAATCTCTATCGGACCCTGCCGGCATTTCGAAGATCCACCCATATCGCTTGTTTTGTTCACGATCATCAATAAACCCAACACACTTTGGTGAATATAGATGTCGTGGTTTGTTGACATGAAGCATCTGTGCCAGGATTGCCGTCCGCACCCTGGATTCTTTATCTTGGACCGAATCTCTGATAATGTTCTGCAGGGGTTTCCATTCAATCCAGACCTCTGAACTCCTGTCTCCATCTCTCAGAGAACCCCTTGACCGTTGCGAAGTTGGGACGTTCTTCGTATTCGCTGCTCTCGTAGAGCAAAAGTTCTTGTTCAAAGTGTCTGCATCATAAAACTTTACACTAATCAAGTTTCTTAGGTCGTCATCGATGTCAGAATTCGCGTCGTCTCTCATCTTCCTAAGCAGACTATCTGAGATATGGTTGATTTCCTTCAATCGCAAAAGATCCCGGAGTGTCTCATCATTATCATTGGTATGAGCGACACCGCAGTTGTCGTTGGTGCGAGAGGTTTTGATTAAACTGGTCACAGCATCTAACATATTCCGGAGGTCCATGACGTCGTTTCGAATAATGACCATCTCCCGGTAAGAACTCGCGGTAATCTCGTGAATGCGTCTCTCACGGTAGTCTCCCATTAATTCGTAGATTCGCTGGATTAGAACGTGAAGATCTTGAAGTAATGCTTCAAACGCTTCTTTATCCACCATGACCCAGCGAACGCGAAAGGGATGTGTGACTATCTCTTTGGCATTCCCAGCTCTTTTCGATATCCACTTGATGATGTGACTTTTCCCTCTCAGGTTTTTACGCTCTTCCTGAGTTTTCTCATATGCCATCGCTAGGCTCGAAATTTCCTTAGTCACGTCTATAGACAAGTTTGCTGCCTTAGACGCCACTTGGCCCTTCTCTAGATGAGACGTAAACTCACCCTGCCAACGAGCATTGAGTTCTTTGAACTCTCCGAGGAGCCATGCAATTCTGGAAATAATGCCACATAGCTCGATCGCGTTCGTTCCAAGGCTCACGGCTATATGTGATCCTTTTGGTACATCAATCAAGCCCACTGCGTCACCCCAGGCGAGAAGTCTATTGTACTCAATCATCAATTGCAGTCGACATTGTTCGCATTCCTTCGGCATGTCCACCATAGAGGAGAAAAACTTGAAGACTAACATCATTGTTAGCCGAATGGACTTTCACTAAGAAGAAGCGAGGAGATTCACGCTTCACTGAGTTATCAAACAGATCGAATGCCAAAGATACCACTCCTATGGCAAGGCCACTCGCAGTTGCAGGGTCCATATTGTCAACCTTGGAGAGGAATAGGAGGTCGATTGCGTGCAGAAATGAAGCTGGGCCACAAACAGCTGGATTCTCGTAACGGGCAGATCACGTACACAGCCAAGTTAGGCTTAAGTTCATAAATCAAGTAATATTAGCAAAGAACCCGAAAGTATGCGAGAAAGGCCCTATAGAATTTCTCTATCAACCGCCAACAACAAATGTGGAGTTTCATTGCAATTTACTCCACTTCTGCTACTACATAGTCGATGCAGGTCATGGGCAGCATACTTGGTTCAGTCTCCTAGCTTGTTTCTAATCATAGAACCATGCATGAATGACGGAGAAAGCTCCAGTCACATTGCGTGATCTCTAAACGCAACCCGTGCGCCATCCGTTTTCTGCCGGCACCCCACTAAGGTCTCGTAATCCATTGGCCCAAATCTGACGGCGTTGTCCTGCCAAGGCTGAACGGCAGCTCACTTCATCAACGTCCAGCTTTCATAATTTCAAGTTTGCGGTGAATGACCCACGTATTTACGCTAAGAATGGTCTTGAGTTTACGTCGGTTTTTCTGATTCCTTGGTAAGTTGCCGTAGAGATTTCTTGTGTAACTTACTGACAGGTCGCCGTCAATCCCTCGTAAGTGAACACTTTTGATGCTTGTCTTCCACTCCTTCTACCTATTGGTTTCTATCATTGTTGCTTTCAGTTCCCGCCATGTGTTTTTCGGTTTTGCAATTTTATTCTCCTTGGGGCAATCCCCTTGTCTTTAAGGTGTCTGCTTTTTGACTTGACGAAAATGGTCTGGTATGTTTTTTTGGGTGTTAGATGCTTTGGTAGAATTGTGATAGTCGTGTTGTGCATCAGCGATGAACCGTGGTCGGCACGTACCGCCCGGACGTCAAACTAGGTAATAATATAATTCCCAGTTGACCCGCGCACCCTAAAACACATAGTATGGTTTGATCATCCATATCTTCAGTATGAACTCAAAATATACAGTAGTTTTCGAAATCAGTTATACCTTTACACTCTTGCGACTTCATTCCCGAAAAATAAATTCGAATCACGCTAACCGTCTTTAGCTTACCGCTCTTTATCTCTGGCAAAACAGCTATAGTAATGGCTGTACATCGCAGATGAGTCATCGTAATAATACTGTACTGCTGCATGGAATGGCCTAGAAGCTTTAGGGAGCTATGGCGATCTGGCATGATCGCCCAGCCTACTGACTGCCTTACTGCCCACTCGTTCTTGCCCCTCGTTCTTAGACCCATGTCGCCTGGACTAATAGCGGTAAGTGGGCAGCTATTATGCAGGAATTCAGTGGTTTTCGAATTCAGTTTGACCGCAAACTCTTTTGACTTGCTCCTCGGAAAATAAATCCGAGATAAGCTAAACTTGTTTAGGATCACCGCTCAATTAACAGGGCAGAACTTTCGTGTAATTGCTGTACTATGTAACGCAACTCATTGTAATAATTAGAATCCCTTATCGTGGATTTCGAAAACAGATTACCCCCAAGAATCTCTTTCACATTGCCCCACTATATCCACGCTAGACTACATTGGGCCAATCAATATTCCAAAATGATTCCCTTGGGTACTTTTGGTAGTCTGGCAAAGTTACCGTAATGACAGGTTCCGGCTCCGGCTGATCTATTCTGCCGTGGTCGCACCTCCGCAGTAGAAATCAAATCACTTCTCACTCACGGAAGACATCATAAGTCTGTCATTGCTGGGAGCTCACCCTTGATATAGTTACTACTTGTCCTAGGGCGCGACCGTGGCGCTCAGAAGAAGTACCGAACGAAATTCAAGCTGGACATACCATTGGCCACGCCTCGGTCGGTCATCAACAAAACACCAAGAAAATGTACACGAATTACCTCATGCTTACCCACTATTTAGAACGCACTTCTTAGCATTGTAGAATTTTGAGTAAAGGTACATAATTTTCTGAACGGAGGTATATTTTGTCTAGTAGATTAACCCCTCTCCTCATCTTTCCGGCGATCCCTCGACCTCAGAAAAAATTTTGAGTTAACCAGCGTCAATCACAGGCCTAGAAATTTCCCCAATCGATTGACTATCCTGTTCCACCGTTGGTTATCGTTCACTAATACTTAATTAAGCCACAGGCCGGTATCTTAGCTATAACGGATCCTGTGCCTCATCTTCCGACCTCAACGCTCAGCTTCGCCGAACCAGTTGTATGCCGAACTAGTAGTGTTTGAGCGGGCTTGTGCTAGCAGCGATTTGCTCTCCACCAGAGCAGCCTCTGTAGGGCGGGCTGACAAAGTAGACCTCACAGTAGCGTTGTTCAATATTAAGTCCGTTCTTGAAGACACTCGAAGCTTTCTAGATTATTCAGCATTATACTGGCCAGACCATAAGCGGAAGATGAGTCAGACCCAAGACCAAGAAGTGACCGGTCAAGTTCAGCAAATCTACGATATGAGTAGAAAGATATTTTCATTGTGGTTCCCTATTTTTTGGAACAACATCCAGCGTTTTAGCGATTCGTCGTCGTCCATGACTGCTTTGCAGTTGGCATCATTTAACGGGCATGAGCGGGAGGTTGATTATTTACTTTCTCTGGAGAGAAGGAATATCAATTCGAGCGGTGATATTGGAACCAACCCTCTGATGTTGCCTCACTGAACGGTTATGTGACCGTCGTTGGGTTGCTACTAGAGAAAGGAGCCAACGTCAATGCCCAAGGTGGACCTTATGGAAATGCCCTCCAAGCTGCATCTGCAAAGGGGCACGATAAGATCGTGCAGTTGCTTATTGAGAAAGGAGCCAATGTCAATGCCCAATGTGGACACCTTGGGAGTGCCCTCCAAGCTGCGTCTCAAGTACCTTTTTCTTCGATACCATTCTCATTCCATCCAAGAGACTCCATACCTCACTTATCTTTGGCATAGAATCAACAGACCGCATTGTGTAGACCGGTCCATAGGTTCATTATGCACTACAGTAAATAACCAAGAAAGACAACACGCTCGCACCATCTGATCTACGGACAGTCATTCTCGAAATTGCCTTGACAAGTACACACGGTGACTTTTAGCGCAGATCATCTATTAGACCCACCCCATTAAGTTGCGGTCCCGTGTGGTCCCCCAAGCTTGTACTGTGACGTTCAAAACGTGGGGCCCTCAACTTGATGCGTTAAGCCCAATAGATGATCTGCGCTAAAGCTTAGCAGAGGGGCCAGGAAAAGTACCCCTAATATGGCTAACATGAATTCTCGGACACTCACAAAACACTCCCATGTGTAGAGACTCACCAAAGAGTGAAAGGGAAGGGCTACAGTGGTTGGTTGGTTGGTTGATATCATTTACCCTGACCCCTCGCAATGAAAAGCGATATGCAGGCTACCTCGACTATATATACATCCGCGTACGTACATGTAGAGTGTTCCACTTCCTGAAAACGAACTTAGAGCCTCGTCAAGGCCTGCCGTGGCCTAATTGCCGTTCCCGTTGTTAGGCTGCCCTCGTGGCGCGCGACTGCGGAATCGCTGTGACGCCTCTGCGAAGTCCAAGACAGCATTGACCGTCCTGGACCGCGAGACGGTGTCTGGTTTACCTTTCTTACCTTCAGCTGAACCTCCCAGCAGGTTCGATATGCAACTGAATGCGTCCCCAACTTCTTTCCTCAGCTCCCGTCTCAGTTCCCTCAAACTCGGACAGTCCACCAGCACATGAGTGACTGTTTCTTGCGCGCCGCAAACGCAGTGATCATCGTCGCGAAACTTGTGCGCCTTAGCGTAAGTAGATAACCAGTTATGGCCAGTACGCAGCTGCGTGAGCAGGTAGGCTCGGTTCCTAGGCAGACCGCCATACAATTTCCTCGTGTATATGGCCGGTAGTGCGTTGTCGATTTTTCGCAGATGGCTACCTTTGGGGGTAGACTTCCATTCGTGCGCCCACTGCGCGGAAATCTTGCTTCGGATCAATGCTTTCTTCCTCGTGAGCAGAGGGCGGAAGGGGTGTGTTTTTCCTGGGTGCGCGGCATCCTTCGCTAGTCGATCTGCTGCGTCGTTTCCCGCATTCTCACAGTGCCCCGGAAGCCATTGCAAGCGGAGCGCAATCCCTTCCGCTTGAACCTCTGTCGCTGCCTGGAGGATTGCGTGAATGATTCGTTGTCCTGATTTGTTCCCGGGGTTTCGGGTTGCTTGCAGGGCGAAGGGCTACAGTGCCGCCCGTTATTGCCTTCCATAACTAGAGACACAGATACATTATTTCAAACCCTAATCACATGATCCGCTAAGCTAAATATGGCTACTTTCGTATTTACAAATACTGGAAGACGCGCGCAGCGCGCGCATCAGCCCTGAAACGATGAAAATGAATGGAAGGCGAAGAAAAGGTGAGGGTAGGAGGGAAGGTGAATCCGTGACATTTTATATAGTAGCATACGCGGGGGCGTACTCTACTCGTATTGTGATTGGTCAACACTGCCGTACGTGCATGACTTTTCCACGTCATTTACATCGCTCGGCTCCTTAGCTAAGAGTAGGTTCTGGTTAAGTAATGGATCCTCAATATGTGATTGGCATTGGCATGCTCCGGGAATATATTCATGTGCTTCTAGAATAGTTCGGGCTGCGAGTAATGAATATCAGGTTTTATGGGGACTTTACGAAGAAAGATGTTTTGAAAGAAGCACAATACTCTTGGTGAACAGGAATAGAATATTTCTTGGAGGAACTAATGTTTATTTATCGGAGTCCGTACTATCCCCTTTAAACTCTAATGGATGGAGAAGATAGGAATTGAAAGCGAATATAAAGTGGCTACATGGTAAGGTAGAGAGAATATATATCGGTACTAAATGATAGAGTCATGAAGGGAAGATGTTCGTACGACTGATCCAGGAAGGGGGAATGAGGTGTAAAGTAGGGAAAGGGTTTTGAGTATTGAGGTCTAAATGATTAAGTTAGTTTCGGGGTGCTTTTCGTTGCCTCTGGGAACGCCTCTCTGGTGTAGGAGTGCGAGGTTGTGGTAAGGTTTGACCATCGTCGGTGGTGTCCGGCCAGGTTATCAACGTTCCCTCTTCATCATTATTCGGGGAAGTGGTTCTTCCTGTCGTGTCGTATGACTGTTGGGGGTTTGGGATTAAATCGTTCTCTAATACGGTGGCTGGCTTGCGTGGAGAACGAGTATTAGCCCTTTGGGTCCAGCGATCTTGGCGTTTGCGTTTACTAGCTGTCGGAGATGGTGTGGATGGCAAAGACTGTTGTTGAGTTGGAAGGAAATGTATGTCATCCGTAATCACAGCTAGCTGGCGGTTGTTCTTGGTGATGCCGAAAATACGCCCAGTCAGAAAAATGTTGGTGTTGATAGTCAATGGTGGGAAGTTCACCCAACGTTGTCCATTCTTGAAGTATGCAGTAAGGGGAAATGTGTTATAGCTTCGAGACGAGCTGTTGTACACAGTAGACTGGAGGCGGTAGTGTAGGAGAGTTGCGCCAGTATTTAGTTGACCTCCACGTTCGAGAACAGTTGCAAGGACGGTTACGACGGGCAGAGCCGCTTCAGGGCAGTGCATAAAGTATGAACCAGTATCTTCTTGGTCGCCCGGGTGCCTAGAGTAGGTCAATTTATGTACTGGGTGACTCTGAAAATTACTAACCTGTCAACGCCATTAGCATGGAGAAGGATGTGGAAGCCCTCACTATCAGAGGAGGTGGTGAGGAATGAACCCCACGCATAAATAAAAGCGTTCGATTGGTAGAGGTCCGGTTGGTTCCCTTCATTGAAGAACCGAATTAAAGTGGGAATATCGTCCTGTTCAACATCGTCTGATTGTATATCTTTGTCTGGTATATTGAGTGATACGCGTAACTGTAAGGATAGGCTTTTACCGGGGCGCGTTGGATCTTGCTCGACATAGTCGATGAAATCGCGGATGTGAAGAATGGCCGGAAAAGAACTCTGGGAAGGCATAATGGAGATGGAGCGGTTTCGTGGGAGGTTGGTAATCTAGTAGGATCAAAAAGGTAGTGGATATAGGGTTAATAGTTGAATGGAAAACAATAGGAAGAAGACATAGAGGATAGTCTGTATTCGTGTCGGTAGCTGTATGGGCGACTCTGGCAGGGATAGCCCTGTTAATACTTGCGATGGTGCATGGATATATGTGCGGATACGAACTATTAGTCGGAAAGTTTCCTCACCGCTTCTCTCAGGAAGGAGTTAGATGCAGAAGAGACAAGGTTAAGCCTGTATATATGAAGCTTATCGCGCACATACGCAAGATATGGAGAAAATTGACTGGGCATTAGGTGAGGTATGTCGAGGTCTCAGATTGCCATGCAGCAAGAGTGTTCAGCTCCAGTGCCCGCAGCCTTTGCATCTCACCGAGCAACTGAGGATCGGGGGTGTGTTGTATGTCATTCATTTCAATTGGTTGTAAGAGATGAAGCCCAGCCAGTGAACGAAGGCGGGATAGCTGCACGTAAGTAGAGCAGAATCTCCGGTGGGCGTCTTGACCTCGAATTTTGCGATCATTCTTGAGATCCAGAATGGCGGACTCAAGGGTCGTACCCTGAATTTTATAGTCGGTGAGACAAAAGGCCGGGCAAATAGGGACCTGCCTCCGGCGCACTGAGAACCCTTTGACGGTTATAGACGCTTCGAGTGGAAAGATAGGTAAGACATTTTCACTTAAAGAATGCAGAGAAATCGATTTCGATCGGTTCGGTTTGAACAGGAGGCACGCTGGGGGCTTTGTGCAGAAGATGTACAATTCATCAAGGTCGTGAAAGTTCGCTAATGGCGAACGAGTTGTGTGAGTTAAGAAGCCACATATATTAGTGGGAGTTGAGGTACCTTCCGGGTCAGCAACAACGCCCACAGCCTCTCCAGTCGCACCATTAACCAATCCAGCGGGCGTGCATATGTTTGTCAAAAGCATTGTGGGCATTGAATGTGTATAGAGAATAAGTCCTGGAAAAGGGATCTTTGCTCCCTGCTCGGGAAGCCCAAGTAGGTCGTCAGCATGAAGCGTTAGATCGGTCGGCGCAGTGGACCTTGTGCGAGTGTGGAGCGCGGGGAATATTATGATTCTCTGACGTCTTGATCTAGCAAAGCGCTCGATCTGGAAACGATTTATGATATGCCGGAGCGCGTTCAGTTTAACGACTGCCGTCGTGGCATGTAGACGCGGATCGTCAAGTGAAGTTATCGCCTTTGAGTTCAACACCGAAATATCATCGTGAGTAAGTGTGGCAGTCCTAGCGCGAGTAAGTATGTGCCGATAAGGTAAGTCTTCCGCCTGGCGCATCTGCTCGTTGAGGATGATGACATGTTCAAACTGGTTCCAGATAAGCTTCCCATCCTGCTCGGTCTCATTTCTCGGAGGTTTCCATAGGGGCTGGCCCTGGACAGGAGGGAATTGGTAGAAATCCCCCATCAGGATGACCACAGGTAACCCACCAAAGAGGTCCGGTGACGACCTCTCAAGAGATCGCGCGATCTTACAGTGGGTGTTGATGATGCTAAGCGCGGAGAGATCCACCATGCTCACCTCGTCTATGAACATAATTGTTTTTTGTGTCCATAGCCTGCGAACCCTTTGTCCCACACTAGCCCGTCGATACCGGTTCAGAGAAATGCCAAGAGATGTATGGTAGGTGCTTCCTCCAATAACATCAGCGGCAGCTCCTGTTGGGGCCATCAGGATGATCTCGTTCTTGCGGTGAAGCAAGTCCATAGCAGCGGTAGTTGCTTTAATTATCTGGCTTTTGCCCACACCGCCTTCACCTCCCACGTAGAGGAGCATCTGTTTTCGCTGAGATGGATCATACGGATGCTCAGTGCAGCGGAGGGTTTCGGATAGGACCTTTTCGACGACGACGCGTTGTTTCTGGTTCAGTGGAATAAGCTCGCGTACGAGAGAAGTGATTGAAGCTCCTGTGGGATTCTGGCCTATCCGCGAACGAAGATGCGGCAAATCAGGGAATACATCTAATTCAGTGAGCACAGGTAATAAGACATTGTCTGTGAGGTCGATATTGAAGTCATCAAGGTCTGGCATAGCGGTCGACGACGGCTCGGTGTTGGGAGTTTGGTTTGTGAGACCCGTGATGTTCTTAATGTGATCCTTCCAGTCCTGCAGGGTAGACGTCGGAACGAAAGTAAGACCAGTGGACTGACATAGTGAGCTATCAGAAACGGCCCGGAGATTCTGTAGCCGGAGGGTTAGAGGAGGGAGTAAAAATGAGGCGAGAGTAGGGATTTGACGTTGAGCATCGTGGGCCTCCTTCACCCAGCGTCGACTTATCGCCAGAAATGCAGCCAGAAGGGTTTCTTTAGTCAGTGAGCCATCAAGATTTTGCGACGGAAGCGAATCCTCACTCTCTGGGTCAGACATAGAGTAAAGAGGATTGCCCAGCTCTTGGGCGATTGGGGAGGCGCGCTCATTAGACCGAGTGCGCAATATAGCATCAGCCTGGCAGTCGCTTTTTGACTTACGCAAGAGCTCGACGTTTTCGGCAAATGTACGAATATGTGGCGGAAGTGTTGGTTCAACGCATTTCCAAACATGATGAAGAATATCGTGTGTCACAGCGGAGGTAGGATGTGTTTGTTGAAAAAGTGAGGGTAGATTTTGCCAAGGAATGAAAAGTCCGAGAAGGATCTCGGCTAGATCGTTCTGAATCGCTGTGGTTGTAGGATTCCCATCTGGGATGGAATCCTCTGAGGACTGAAATTCCGTCAGCTCGCCTTGTAACGTTACTGTGGCCGTTTGTGAAGGAGACTGAGCTAGCCTCTGTACATGTGTACGGTGTCTTGGATGTGTCTCATCGAAAAGCACGTCCTCTGTTATCGCATCCTGGCGTCTCTTAGTGCGTACTAACATGCCGTATTCGAAGAGGGACAGGCAGGATAAGGAACCACCACGCAACTTATAATTATCGAACGTATTTGCCGGTGCAGTTGTGGATTGGTCATAGTTGCAAGGCTCTTCTTCAATCGTGTCGGATGGCGATGGATCCCGCGAAGACCGCCCTGGTGGAATGAACGAACGAACATATCGTCTGAGCCACCACAGATTGATGCGAGTGAAATTGTAGTTGAGTGTGTAGTAGAAGGGTAGTTGGAGAAGTGCGCTTGCCACCTGGACGCCGCTTACTTCCCGATCTTGCGATAAGCTATTGAAACAGCGAAGAGCAAAATTATTCAGACCCCTTTGGCGAAGTCTCGAATCTGCCGAAGTAGGAGCAGGAGCAGCGGCGGCACGTTCAATCATCTGTTTTAACAAAGCAGCCTTCGTCACCATTTGACACGGCGAAATATCATCCTTGGTGGCGTAATTAGTGATGTAATATAGTAGTGACAAAGACTTCGACACGGTCGGAATCCAGGAGATATCGTGGTTCGAGCGAATGCAGCTGGCGATGTAAGGGTTCCATGGATTAACCCAAGCATGGTTACGGGCAACGTGAATGATACCATGGTCGTCTACTTTGGATCTCTCGAGAAGTTCGCGAGGCATGCCAAAGCGGCAAACATTTCCGTTCGACCTTTGCGTGCGATATTTGAAGCAAGTAGCCGTGTGCCGCTTGGAGTGAAGCTGTTTGGTACGAGCAACAGAGTTACTATCGCAGAAAAGTCTCTCCATGAATTCCGCGTCCGACTCGGCGGCAGTTGATGTAGGAGGCGAGTTTGGGACTGTTGATGCAGGGTCCTCGTCAGGTCCGTATAAGCTTTGTATCACGACACTTTCCAAGTAGCTGATCATTCGGTTCGCAAAATCAGTATCTGCGAGTATACGGTCACGTAGCCGGATGAAACCAAGGTTGCCTCGAACCCAGATTAGCGTGTGAAGATGTAAAATGCCTCTGCCGTTACTCTCTACTACACCGAAATAATTAGAGATGTCGCCAAGAATGCCAATGTCGGTAGTCTTACTACCGAGAAGACCGTCAAGGACTGCTTTGCATGTGTAGTGGAAGAATCTTGCCACAGAAACAGGGTCGGAAGTCGCCGTTACGGATCGGACGGCGGATGCGACACTGGAAGAGAGGCTGGAGGAACACTGCACGCCAGCAAGGATAAGAACGAGAGGGTTGTGAAGGTCGGATGGATTGATTGTTAGCCAGAATGCTGGCATACCTTCTCGAACGAGAAGACCGCGAAGCTCTGCCCGCATTTGTAATTTATGGAAAAAAGACCCAGGAACATGGACGCCAATGGCAGTGATGTTTTTGAGTAGTCGGCGAACAAGCGGATCCGTGGTGACTCGATTAGTAGCAAGGGCAGTAGCTGCCCTTTGCAGGCGATCAATATTGAGGGAATTGAGATCCCTGGTAACAGACGTCCACTGGGATCGTTTTATAAGAAGTGAATTGCCAAGACAAGAATTTCGTAGCTGTATGATATCATACAACAAGTACATGAACGTCCTGTGGCGGGCAAACCTAGGAACTTAGTCAACATCATCTATTCCTAGGTTAAGGGATACGTACCTCCGGCTATGGTGGCGAAGAGCCCAATTTGCGAAAGCAGCAAGAGATACAGCCATAGCACGATGGTCCAGGTGACCGCCAATACCCGCCGGAAAAAGCGTAGGGAAAGCAGATGTTAGATAATGTGGGTCCTGCCAGTGATTCAGAAGTGATATCTGGCCGCGCACACTATATCCGATCACAGGGGCTCGTTGCGGACCGCCAGCAGCTCGAGTGGGATGGATGGCGGGGCCAGTGTCAGTAAATCGAGATTGTGTTGCGAGCGGCGGATCGATAACGAGTGAAGAGATAGTATTTAGTAGACGTAGGTCGGGGTCTTGTCGATCTCCATTTAAGTCAGTGGTTACAGAAGTACTGACTAGAGGAGTATCATCAGTAGGATCATCATGGCAGTCCTCTGCAGCTTGCCAGTCATTTTCATAGTTCTCGTCGTGCAAATTAACACTATAACCCGCCCGTTCGTGGTGATCCGTGCTGCTTAAGCATATAACCTGCTGCTGTATCTCTGAAGGCACGAACTCATCGGGCCATTCATCCATTGCCGAATGTTCAACAGCGATATCGCCGTATAAAGGATTATGCTGCACGAGATAGCGAAGGGCAGTTAGCACCTTGTGCTTACGAACAGTGAAGAAAGGCTGCAGATCAGCGGCAGTTGGGGTATTCTTTCCTAGCCAGAAGACCTTGATAAAGTCAGTGAACTCTAGATTAGGATCTGGCAATATTCGAAGGAGAGGTTTAGGGTCTTGTGGTATAACGATGAAATGGCCGCGTAATGCACGGTAGTTTGCTGGCGATGCCTGTCCCCCTGGCCGTAACTTCACGACTACCCCAACCGGGTGGGACCTGGCGATAAGATATTCCTCAGGCAGAGTGAGATTCTTGAGAGCGTCAGGGTAGTGCTGGCACAGAGTCACATTGACACTGTTCTTGGCAGAGAATTTCGGGATTGAGCCTCGTAGTAAGGCGGCATGGCACACGGAGCAGAGATTCCAGAAGCCGTCGTTGCTGCCGCAGCTATCGAGAAATCCTTCTAACGGGTGCAACAAGGAATCTCCAGGCAACAAGCGGCTCACATCAGAAAGAGCAACCAGCATACCACATGAACAACATGTAGTATCCCGGCCGGCAAGAGTCATGTTGCTATGAAAACGACGAACAGCCTGCCGTATAACAGACGAAGAGATTTCGGGCGGAAACACATCGGAGGCACGTATGCGAGACGCGTGCTCTTGTCGGAGGAAGTCAAGGCCTCGGTCTATTGCGAAGGAAGAGTTGGTAGTCTCTGCAGGCCTTAATACACGTCGTATAGGTTGCCCTTGTGAGGGACGACTCTGGTTTGCGGAAGGATTCGATTGGAGGGAGTTAATGAATGGGTTAAAAGTAGCGTTAAACAAGTTTCCAAAATCAGTGGGCGCTTGGGAAGCTCGGGATGGCCTTGGCCTACAACCGAAACACCGAGTCACACCAGGGCGACTGGGAAAGAGGTTACCACAGCCTTGACAGGGAGCATCAGAGGGCCGGCAACTCGAACAACGAGGATTAGAAGAGTCTGCGGGAAGCAAAACACGGCAGCCTAGGCAGGGCCACGTCTGCCGAGGAGGTGGGAGCTGTGCCAATCGACAAGCAGGGCATCGCGGAGGCTGAATCGAGGTTGATAGCCGAACTTCGCGGCCACAATCATGACAGGGACGACGCGTTAGCATTGACATTCCGTATGACAATACCTAAAGAATAGAGAGAAGTGCGAGGGCAAAGAGCAACCATGGCAGAGAAGTAACGCGTGGTAGTACGTAGCAGCGCGTCACTATAAAAACGGCGTCAATAAGTTGCATCTTGAGCAATCATAGAGCCTCAAGGTACAGATAGGTGCAGCAAAAGCCCTAGAACCCTAAACTTTAACAGAAACCAGACCTAAAACGGCAATGGAGGGGCGAATGAGGGGGGCGCGTGGCGGAAGGATTCCAACACAGAAAAGCGCGTCAGATCAGCGATCGCGCACGGACAAGCACGTTGTTTAACTCCCTTTCTCTCACTACGTTCGTTTCAGGGCATGTTCCAGAGTTGCACTGTAACAACCATGAAAGTATAAAACTGTATAGTCATGTACTGATACATATCTAAAAAAATAAAAACCTGTTCTGTGTCCAAAAATAACCACCTTCACCCACCCCCCACCAAAGAGGTTCAAACCACCAGGCCGCCGTTCGCTCACACTCCTCCCACCAACAATGGCCATCCTCGAAATCGGCTTGACCAGTTCACATACACACTCCTCGGCCCCGACGCTAAGGCGTTAGTGTGGATCATTTATTTAGCGGACCGCCTGAAATAGACGAGGTGTAGTTCAGAAGGGGTGTTTTCAGCCAGATCCACAAGTGATCAGTCATCGACAACCTCTGCCGAGTGCCACAAGAAAACAACCAGATCACCTAATACGGCAGCGCTGATACTCTGCAGACTTGCAGGATCTAGACTCTACAGGCTATCCAAATCGTGGAAAAGAAATGGAAGAAGCGCGCGAGCCTTTTTTTCTCCCTCATGTCATGCCCCGCTGCCTAAGGCAGATGACGCAATCCCCACCAGTATGTCTGCTTCGGGATGGGGATTTTCAAGCGACCCAGATATTGAGAGAACATGGACAAAAGTCAGGCAGTTCTTCGCATAGCATTACTCAGGCCAGCAACCTTGCGTCTGGGTTGTCTGACGTTATCGTCATTCTCGAGCGCCCTCGCATTGTCGAGTCACATTCCCCCAACCAAAGCTTTGATGACTTTGTGAATGGCTGTGACACTTTGCAGGTGGTGGACGAGTTACTCCGCTTTGCTAGTCGAGGGACTCGGAACATTGGTACCGTTACTGTCATTAATGCATTCTCATTGCAGCCTGAAAAGAATGCCGAGGCAGACCTCAGGTGTGAAGGAATGCTTGCACGGTTTCTGCAGGTAAAGAGACCCCAGGTGATCATTCATTGCACAAACTCGGTCTATAAGAGTTCGTGGATGAGCAGATTTAACTTCGGGGGAAAACCTTACAGGATACGGAGCGAACAAATCGAAATTGTTGAGGGGCACACCGCTATCGTGATACCCTCTTTTCATCCGTCCCATGCAGTCAACTACTTGAAGTACAGACTGGAGCTGCGAGTTTTGCTCATGTATCACTTCGCCTTGGCCTTCCATTCATTAGGCGATAGAACGGCTATCCCGTGTTGCGCAAAAGAATTACAGGATCTATGCCTCTACAAGGGTGAAAGAAAAGAAGACAAATGCCCCATCAGCGACTGGGACCTCGCATCATGCATATCAGATAAAGTCAACAAATCTTATCTGGATTGTGGAAAAGACGTCGTGCCACTCTCAATGGGCGTCTTTGCCGACGAAGATCTTTCGGACAAAATCAACAGGGAATCCGACACCTTCGATTCCATGAGTTTCTGGCTTTCCCTCCTTCTCGAGAAGCCGCAGAAATTTGAACTTTTTGGAATTGCATCTGCCAGCTTCCTTTTGAAGAGGGCGAATACCAATTTGAACCCCGTCTATTCGCGAATCTCCTCGGCGTTGCTTGACCTGGTAACAGATCGGGATCATTGGTTCTTCAAAGCAGAAGACATAGATGTGGCTGATCTAGAAGAGAAGTTTTCAGCAGTTTCCCTCCATGTTGACCCCCAAATATTCCATGTCATCGATGCAAACCGCAAAGCCTGCGTTTCCGTTGAGAAGACTTTAGGTCTTGTTGAGCGCGGCCAAGTTATTGATTTTACCGTTAAAACACCTCCTCACTACGGTGCGGTTGTTTTGCAAAATGTTCTCCTGGCTAAATATCTGGCTAGTTCGCCAAGAATTACTATTTCTACAGCGTTGCGCATGGAAGCACTGTCAAAACGTTGTTCGGTCATCAATGAAACGTCGCGGAAGCACAGTGAAGTGGAGGGGCAGCTCCCAGATACCGAAATAATTTTTCACGTCAAACGTTTGTTAGAATGTCTCAGAAAGTTGCGAATGGAGCTTGAAGCTATTCTTGAATAGATAGCTTAGGCAATTTGCAGAGAGGAAGGGGGAAATATATCCGGAATGGAGCGAGACTTGTCCAGTTCCGAATCCATAAAATTTCCGCTGCTCACTTCCGCATCGTACTGTAACCTCTTTTCACTGATGTTTTAAATGTGCTAGCTGCCCATTTTATCCCTGGACCCGCCCTCCGGAGGTTATCTTTGAAAGCTAGGGCACCGAGATATCTGATGTAGTTAATACAGAAGTTTTCGAAATCTTTTATACCTCACAACAGGAGGAAGTTGACAGATTGCGCGATCGCCGGTTTGCTTAGCTTTGCATGGAGCCCTTCTAGTCGTCCCCGCCTACAGACTTGTATCAGCACAACTTGGGGTACAAGATCAGGTACCAGAACTACGTATAGCCATGACGTGTAATTTACGCGATTCCATATGAAGTTTATTACATCACGTGATTAGGGTTTGAAAGAGCATCTCTCTGTCTCTAGATATGGAAGGCAATAACGGGCGGCACTGTAACACTCTCCCAACGGAGGCTGCGAACGCCCACATCCGCACGGCGTTGTTGAGCGCGCCGTCAACACAGGACGCCCAGGTTGCCGGTATTGGCACCACCAAAACAGGATATGTGATTCGATTCAAGAATGCGGAGTCGGCGGACGCGGCCCGCAACAACATCGAATGGCTGAACGAGCTCGGAAATAACACGAAACTCGTCAAGCCACGGTTCGGCGTCGTCGTGCACCGTACTCCGACAGAGGACTTTGATCTGGACAACGCAAGCACACAAGCGATCGAGAAAATCATGGAAGAAAACGAGCTGACCGAGCGGGGCTTCCAAATCGAAGAATTAGCATGGCTAAAAGCCAGAGATAAGCCACTAGGGAAATTTGCGTCCCTAGGAATCTGGTTCGACTCGGCAGAGGGGGCAGAGCGGATCCTGGAACGCGGACTACTAGTTGGCCAAAGATATATCGATAGCGTGGAACGACGTGAGATCAAGAAGAAGAGATGCTTCCGGTGCCAACGGTTTGGACACCTGGCGTGGTCGTGCAGGGAAACCCCACGCTGCGGCCACTGCGCCGGCCACCACCTCCGTGAGCATTGCCCACCTGGCGTGCGGCCACGATGCCTCGACTGCAGTGGGGAACACCAGACTGGTGACCGTCAGTGTCCGACCCCCGCGACATCCAACCCCTCTCAATGTTAGGGACCAATTTACGCGTATTACAGTTGAACATCATGAAATCAGGGCCGCGGATGGAAGCCCTCATCAACGACCACCAGAGCCAGAACCTGGATATACTCTTGATCCAAGAACCATCTATCACCACCTATCAAACGCACGTCAACCATAGCGCCTGGCGGCTGTACCGACCGACTATCGAAACCGACGCAGTTCGGTATCGTAGCCTGATCTATGTTAACCGAAGTATCTCGACCTCCTCACATCGGCAGATCACCTGCGACCATGCAGACCTTACCGCAATCAAGATATGGACAGCAGACTCTCAAATAATCATCTTTTCAGTTTACATCCCACCCGTACCGCTGTTCACGCCTAACGGGGCGTCAGCGGAACCAGCACTCGCAGCAATCCAGAACACAATAACCACCGCTCTCCGAGACGATCCAAAGCCAGCGAGCGTGATCCTCTCGGGTGACTTTAACCGCCACCACCCGACCTGGGGTGGCAATCACATCCAACCGCAGTTCATAGAGGACGCAAGCGAGCTAATCAACTTCTTCCAGGCCAATGGCCTACATGGCTGTCTCCCCCGAGGAACAGCAACATTCTGGTCTCTCAGCGACCCAGGGAAAAACTCCACCATTGACCAGACTGTAACGAACCGGCCAGATCTGCTCATCAAATGTCATCTGTACCACGATAACTATGGTTCGGACCACCGTGCCACATACTCGGAATGGAGCCTAAGAGCCCAGCGCAAACCCACCGCCAAAGCGAAGAAAGCGTACGAACGAGCGGATTGGGGCAAGATTGGGACCGAAGTGCTCCTGCTGGTTGGCGCATGGACAGAGATCAAAACGAGACCAGCGCTGGATGCGATGGTTAATAAGCTCACGGAAGCGACCGCAGCGGCAGTGGACAAACACACCCCTGACCTCCGACCAACACCATACTCTAAACGCTGGTTCACGCCAGAACTCAAAATCCAGCAGACTGAAGTTAATCGCTTACGCCGGAGGTGGCAAGAGAGCTGCGCGGAGCTTGGGCGAGACCATGCACGTTCGGCGACTCTCTTCCAAGAGATGCAACAGAAACGACGTGTATGGACCCGAACTATCGAGAAAGCTAAGGCAGCGCATTGGAAGCAGTTCCTGGACAAAGCCGGTGAGGGGAAGCTCTGGAAAGCGGCTACATACATGAAACCGAGAGAGACCTGGGGCTGTGTCCCAGCCTTACATGTCGACGCAAATGAGATCACGAAGAACGAAGGCAAAGCGCAGGCCTTCCTGGACGCTTTCTTCCCCGAGATGGACGAACCCCACGAGGATCCGCTAAGCCATCTACCTCTGGAACTACCGTGGCAACCGATCACCGCGTTAGAGATTCAACGGTCTCTTAAAACCGCAAAAGGCTCCACAGCCCCTGGCGAGGATGGCTTGCCGACGCTCGTATGGAAATACCTTTGGAAGCCCCTGAAAGAGATCATCACTGGAATTTTCACTGCGTCTATCAACCTGGGATATCACCCAAAGCGTTGGAGGAGCGCGAAGATCGCGGTGCTACGGAAACCCGGAAAATCGGACTACTCGATTCCCGGAGCCTACCGCCCGATTTCACTCCTTAACACGTTGGGCAAGTTACTCGAAGCGGTTATGGCTCGACGACTATCGTACTTCGCCGAAAAGCACGGTTTGCTACCAGACACGCAATTCGGAGGACGACCGGGCAGGACAACCGAGCAAGCCCTGCTAGTCCTTGCTAGCGCAATCGACCGCGCGTGGCTTAAATATAAGGTAGTGACCCTCATCGCTTTGGACCTGAAGGGTGCCTTCAACGGGGTCAATAAAGTGAGCCTAGATGTCCGCCTCCGGGTAAAGGGGATCCCAGCAATAGCGCGCAGGTGGATCGCAAGCTTCATGAGCGATCGCCACGCGAGTATAGGATTCGACGACTTCCGCACAGAGGTGACCCCACTGGCGAATGCGGGATTAGCACAAGGCTCGCCTCTCTCCCCGATTCTGTTCGCGTTTTTCAACTCCGACCTGGTCGACCAACCTGTCACCTTTCGCGGGGGCGCATCAGCCTTCATCGACGACTACTTCCGATGGCGGGTAGGCCGTTCGGCCGAGGAAAACATAGCCAAGATCCAATCGGAAGACATCCCACGTATCGAAGCATGGGCCCGACGAACAGGATCCTGCTTTGCAGCGGAGAAGACCGAACTTATCCACCTCACTAGGAAAAGAGGTGAACAGCTCCAGGGGCAGGTAGTCATGGGTGGTATGGTTGTCGAAGCCTCGCCTAAAGCTAAGCTGCTAGGAGTGATCTTTGACCAGGAGCTTCGGTGGAAAGAGCACGTCCAGCAGGCTATAAAACGAGCAACCAAAGTGACTATCGCACTAAGCGGGTTACGGCACCTGCGGCCGGAACAGATGCGGCAAATCTACCAGGCCTGCGTGACGCCGGTCGTAGACTACGCGTCGACAGTCTGGCACAACCCACTCCGGGATAAAACCCACCTCCGCAACCTAAACACGGTCCAAAGGACCGCATTGATTCGCATCTTGTCAGCGTTCAGGACGGTAGCCACCACAACCCTGGAGGTCGAGGCCTACGTCCTCCCCACCCACCTCCGTCTCCGCCAACGAGCTCAAAACACCATCGCAAGGCTCCACACACTACCTCGGAGCCACCCCATCTGGAACGCGCTGGTACGAGCCCAGAAACGGCGGAACAACGTCCCATCGTATGCTCGCTTCCCGCTGGCGGAAGCGTTGAAGACGATGGACCTGGAAAGGTTAGACGAACTAGAGACGATTGACCCAAGACCACTGCCACCGTGGCGAGCCGAGTCCTTCACTGAGATTGAGGTCGAACCGGACCGAGAGACAGCGAGAGAACGTGCCGAAGCAGTACGGGCCACATCCGACTTGGTCGTCTACTCGGACGCTTCTGGACGAGACGGTCACCTGGGAGCTGCCGTCGTAGCGCTCAACGACAACCTCGAGGTCATAGAATCGCAACAGGTCCAGGTGGGGCCAATGGACCGATGGTCAGTCCACGTAGCGGAATTAATAGGCATTTTCCAAGCAATCAGCACGGTGTTTAAGATCGCTCACGGCCGTCCCAGGCCAAGCGGAGGAACGACCACAGCCACGATTCTCTGCGACAGCAAATCCGCCCTGCAAGCAACCCGAAACCCCGGGAACAAATCAGGACAACGAATCATTCACGCAATCCTCCAGGCAGCGACAGAGGTTCAAGCGGAAGGAATTGCGCTCCGCTTGCAATGGCTTCCGGGGCACTGTGAGAATGCGGGAAACGACGCAGCAGATCGACTAGCGAAGGATGCCGCGCACCCAGGGAAAACACACCCCTTTCGCCCTCTGCTCACGAGGAAGAAAGCATTGATCCAAAGCAAGATTTCCGCTCAGTGGGCGCACGAATGGAAGTCTACCCCCAAAGGTAGCCATCTGCGAAAAATCGACAACGCACTGCCGGCCACATACACGAGGAAACTGTATGGCAGTCTGCCGAGGAACCGGGCGTACCTGCTCACGCAGCTGCGTACTGGCCACAACTGGTTATCCACATACGCTAAGGCGCACAAATTTCGCGACGATGATCTCTGCGTTTGCGGCGCGCAAGAAACAGTCACTCATGTGCTGGTAGACTGTCCGAATTTGAGGGAACTGAGACGGGAGCTGAGGAAAGAAGTTGGGGACGCATTCAGTTGCATATCGAACCTGCTGGGAGGTTCAGCTGAAGGTAGGAAAGGTAAACCAGACACCGTCTCGCGGTCCAGGACAGTCAATGCTGTCTTGGAC